GAAAACTGTTGAAAAAAAAAAATAAAAGGTCTTTTTTTCGCGCGAGCCATCCGGACCGATTTGTCGACTAATTTCCGTCCACTCCAAGTCGATGCGATGTAGTTTTGCGAAAGTGAAACTCTCGAGAATTTCTTTCAGAAGTTTATTTATTTATTTATTTTTTTTTTCGATAATGTATTGTATTCAGATTTCGTTGATTGTTGCAATATTTTTCGAATGGAATTGTTTTCATTGAGATGATTATATGGAGTTGTTCTATGGCGAAAAATACTTTTCTTAAATGTATATTTGGATAGTAATCGAAACTGAAACTCTCGAGAACTGCTTTCAGAAGTTTATTTATTTATTTTTTCGATATTGCATTCAATACTTTTAGAATAGGATTATTTTTATTGAGGTGTCCTTTTTAAAGATGATATATTATTCTAAAGTTGTATGCTAAAAAGTACTTTTTTTGTTCTTAAATATATATTTACATCCTTTGGATAATAATCGAAACTCTCGAGAGCTGCTTTCGAAAGTTTATTTATTTATTTATTTATAGTGAATATTATATTCATACAATATTTTTGGAATAAAATTATTTCTATCGAGATATATAGAGTTGTTCTAAACTTGCATGCTATGGCGAAAAAATACTTTTTCGCGTTCTTGAATGTATCTGCACCCTTTGAACCGAATAATCGAAACTGAAACTCTCGAGAGTTGCTTTAGAGAATAATTTCTCTCTAAACGTGAAGCTAAAGATAAAAGACTAGTATTTTCGAGAAATCCTGTTCTCAACAAACGCATTCCTACAATAAAATTCCATCGTAATAATCCAAAAGTGATTGCAAATCTCGACATTGCTACCTATCAAACAAAAAAAAAAAAAAAAAAACTAGATCAATTGTTAATAATTCCTTGCTCAATCTATATTCTCCATCCCTTCACTTATTCATTAATCACGAAGGATCTAGAAATTGTATACATTTCGAAGTAGTTCTCATTTCATCGAATCTGAACAGAAGAATCGTTTTCACAGCGAGTTTATTTATTTAAACGTTATAAAACGTTATATATATATATATCGATCTACAATCGTGCAATTAACGAATCATACAGATAAGTAGAGTGATAATTTATGCATTCTCGTTTATGCACACGCTCGTGATAAATGGCCCCGGTTATAATATCTGCCTATATGAATTAATTGGAGGAAGGAAAGGAGGAAAAATAAAATTTGCAACAACGCGGGATCCGATCGGATTGGCGGGATTGGGGAGGGGGGAGAGGAGAGGAGAGGAGAGGAGAGGGACACGTGGAAAATGCAAATAGACTTGGAACAATTTAATCCGCTTGGAACAAGAGGAGGAGGAGGAGGAGGCGAGAAGTGCGTGCGACTCGAGAGTGCGTGAAGAAGAAACACCCGATGTTTGATTTAATTATGCGACGCCTAATTACACGTGGCGAGCGCGCGTACGATCGTTTACTGCGGCTAATTGCGAATGCGCATAATTTCCACTTTGTAAAATATCCCTCCCCCTCCCCTTACGTTACGTTACCCTGGCCCAGCCACCGTGAAATTAATCACGGGAGAATTTTGAATTCTCGTGTAGAGGCAATTATTTTAATTTTCGTGTAACGGCGACGGTGGTACGCGAATCCATTCGAATTCGGAAATTTCGTTTCGAATTTGTTGTCTGGAATTTATTAGGGAGGAGAGAAGGAAGCTTGATCGAGCTCGTCTTTTTTAATTATCAATTGTGGAGAGGGAGGGAGAGATTTCGTTGAAAGGGGGGGAGACGTGAAAGATTTATCCAGTGAAACGAATATCTTTATATTCATATCTGTAGTAAAACTGATTTGCGAGTTCGATTCGTGGGTTTTATTAAAGAAGCGAGTGGAAAATTATAGATTGCCGAGTTAATAAATAATCTATGTCCTGAAAGTTACTACTACTTTCTATTTCTTATCTATTAATCCAATAGAAATAAATATTATCGTATATTTATGTATAATGTATAACGTATTCTTAATGGCGCGATAATTAAAAAAAAAAGAAGAAAAATCAAATCGAAAAGTGAAACAAAACGATATATAACGATAAAAATCGAACGAAAGGAAAGGAAGGAACGATCAATCAATCTAAAATTCGTTGATTGAAAAAAGCGATCTCAATATATATATATATATAAAACTATTCTCTTCAAAACAAAAAAAATAAAAACTAATCACCGAGTCAATTAAATTCAATTCGAATGAAGAAAGAAAGAAAGAAAGAAAGAAGGAAAGAAGGAAAATCAAAATATGCATAATCATTTCTAACTGCAACTAATCATCATCAAAAAAAAATTCACGAAAAGTTACACGAGAAAAAGGAGAAGACGAAAAAGAAAAAGAAAATTCTAAAGGATTCAGGTTCACTTTAAGGCACGTTGTAGTTGAAGTTTTCGTTTCCCTTTGATGTACGAATAACTAAATAGGCGAGAAAGAAGAAAGAGAAACGAAGAAAGAAAGAGAGAGAGAGAGAGAGAAAAGAAGAAGAAAAAAGACGTGGCGAAGAAAAGGGGTAGAACCGGTTTAATTAAAAGCGTGTAATTAATCGTAATTATGCCAGTAGTTCTGGTTTCGAAAAGCGTGACGTTTCGTTAGAAAACGCGGCTCAATGGACGAGCAAATCAACGCCGACGAGCGAAATAAAGATGTGGACTGTGAGCGGCAAGACACTCGAGTGGTTTGTTCGTTAAGGTTGTGCATTACCTCAATATCTCGTGTTAAATTAACGAAGCGAAACGTGGAAGAGCGAGTACGCGATTTGTATAATTTGACTGGATTATTATGATATAATTTTCTATTTATATTTCATTTGTAATCTGAAAGAGTGAAAAAAAGAAGATATCTCTGCGATACGAATATATATTGTAAATTTATCTGTTTATAAAATGTATATTTAAAGAAATTAATCGCTTTATGATTTTTGTAAAAAAAAGCGTGTTCTTAAAATTTGGCGAAAGCGATTCTTTTTTTATTAATGAGAGATACAAGAAACATGTTATTTTATAAAACGAAATTTCATTAGAATTTGGATTTAATCTCCCTTTTTCGCATTTCCTCATCTCCGATGGAAAATAAAAATTTTCAAAGCTACGTCTTATTTCTTTATTATTTCTCCCTACTCGATTCCATCTCTGAAAACTTTCAAATTAAATTTCCAAATAAAAATCTAATCCTCTCTTTTTATCCTGTTACGGATTACAATTCACTTTTCTTCTTTTTCCGATTCCTTGAGAAAAGTTTCGAATTAGTTCGAACGATTCTTCGAAAAGTGATGGAAAGTGGTCGAGTCACTTTCGAATCGAGTAAACGAAAAAGTAAGGAAAAAAGAGGAATACGCAAATTCTGGCTCGCTTTTGAATCCGTGTACAAGCAGGCTCTTGTACGAAACGAAATATGCGTGGAAAATGGGTAATTGATATCGCGAGAAAGGGTTTTATGCAAAACCCGTCGATGCAAAGCGTCTTGTGTTTCAATGTGGGCGTTGCGCAAACAATTTGAACAATTATGCAAATATTTATCGTTACATTAATTACTACGTATACGTACATCGATAATAAACGATAACGTGATTTTAAATTACTTACAATCGCCCCTTTTCTCCCTTTGTTGTACCGCACGGATATTCGTTATTGCGCTTTAATAAATTGTACGTACCTGAAACATAAATATATTAATATTAAATGACGATGAATCAATCCGTTTCGATTTGTGGCTCGAGAGAAATAAGATATTCCTTAGGACCGAGATGGATAAGTAATACTTCTCTTTTCACGTTCAAAGAGACCATCACAGTGCCTTCCTGTGTAAACTTTAGTTTTTTGTTTCGACCAACGATAACACTTTGTAAATATTGTTTTTCTCAGAATTCCACGTGTTCGCTTCGTAAATAAATTTTTCTTAGAATTTCGCAATAATAAAGCGTAAAGAGGAGTGGAAGAGGAACTCTAGTAAACAGTGACTAATCATTGTTGTGATGAATTTAACCTGAACGTTATATCATTACGTTATCGATTATTTTCAATACGATTTATATCTCGTTATATTCTCGACGTGAGATGATACGTGAATAAGAAATTCGATTGTCCTGCTACACTTGTGCAACGTTCGAAAGTTGCATCGAACAGGAGGAGGGGAATTACGTCACGAGGAAAAAGAAGAAGAAGAAGAAGAAGAAGAAGGCAAACAAAGGAAAGTGCACGGGCAAGGTTTCGAACGACGAAGGAATTGTCACGCACAATGGCACCAACGGTGGACGCACAATTTCTCGCATTTGCCAGGCTTCCTCGAGAAATCTGTCCACGGATGCCTTACGATATTCGAAAACTTTGCCACCTATCGAAATCAAGTCGTAATAACGGGAAGAAAACTTTGGAAAACTTCGGTGCTCTTTTTTTTATAACTTCGCTCTAACTAAACGGAGGAATTTTCATCCAAAAAAGGTAATTAGCAATTGGAAGAATTAATCTGTGAACGCAATCCGAAGTTGAACAATTTTGTCGTCAATTTTCAAATATACACGAAAGAATATTTCACATTATCTGTCTTAATTAAAAATAAAATTATCTCTTTTCAAACGACTACCTCCAACTCGTTATTGCACAATTTATAGAAATACAACAACTCTAATAAACCCCTTTTCGAAATTGGAAATCATGGATTTCTAAATCAGATGTTGAATCGAATCAAGTTCAACTTCTTCTTCTTCTTGTACTCGAGTCGCCTGGATGGACTATCGATTATAATACACTTTCATTTCGTTGCTTCGATAAAAATACGATATCCACGTTTCCCTACGACTCTCATATATATATACATATATATACTCTACGACCAGTAGATTGCCATCGAGCGGCGCTCAAAACTCCTCTCCTCGACTTCGACAACCTTTACAATTTTCAACCTTGCGGAGGAGACCGATCCCTCCACTCGAAGGCCGGTTCTGGGATGCCGGTGAGCGCGCCTTCCTCCTTTCCTTCCTTCGTTCCCACCACGGTCGAAGGGGACGGCGGCGGTTGGCAAAAGTTGGACGTGGATACCGTTCTGCTCCGAGTGATCCGTGAATACTAACGGCGGTGTGCCGTCGAGGATCGCCAGTTTCCGCGTGGACTTCGCCGCAACGGGTAACGAGATCGCCTCGCGCGATCCTCCTCACCGATCCTTTGTAAGCGCGCGCGCGCTTGCGCGCGTGTGTGTGTGTGTGTATTCGTGTGCACGCCTCGAGGGAAAAATGAGGTCACCCGGTGTCAAGTTCGTGCTCCTGCTAGCTCTCGGTGAGTAAAGGGAACACTTTGCACAGTTTTCCTGTTTGCGCGCCTTACTTTCGATATCCAGTATTATTCCTCTCGAGGAGAGGCGTATATATATATATATCTCGAGGTGTTCTCTCGGGGGATGAATCGGTGTTCACCGAAGCGTGGATGGAACGATGTATGGGGAATTTGGCTAGTGATTTTCTTACGTAGCGTTAACCCTTTGCGCTCGGCAATTCGAAGGCCAGGAATATTTATTTATGTTTGATTTTTTTTTTAAATATTCAGATAAGCTTTTTTTCTTAAGTATAATCTTATAAGCGTGGAGTATATCGAATGGGTAGATTTTTTTATCTCGAATTAGAGCGCGATCGAGCTATATTTGACAATCGTGGGAATATTATTTTCAAAGTTTTTCAGAGTTTGATTTTTCGTTATTAATTATATTTCTATTCGTTGAGAAATTGATAGATAGAGAGAAGAAAATAGAGATGTAGTGTAAAAGGAATATAGAATGAATGAAAAATAAGAATAATATAGATATAGGTGAATGTGAGAGCACGTTATTGGTAATTTGTAAGGTTTCAATAAAATAAGAAAATCTTGATTATGTAAAGATACATAAAATATTAGAATATCGAAGTTTTATAGGTTAATTTGTGTCGTATGAAATCATTTTAAGTTAGCTAAGAAATTCATCGAACGTTTGGAATAGTTGGTTTGACCGAATGATAAAGGCCTGGAGTTCAAAGGGTTAATGATCCTCGTGAGCTGGGGGATATGGGGAGTGAAGGGATGAATGTTATGTGTGGTTATATCTTTTCAAAATTATGATACGTTTGTTTTATTTGGAATAAGGAGAATGGAAGAACGAAATTCTAATAATAAATATTAATGTTTTTATAATTGACATGAATGGAGTAGAATTGTGGATTGTGGATCGAATTTTTCGACAAATGTTCGTCTCAATTACGGAAATTATTATGGAAGTTGAAGAAAACGATGGTAATAGATACTCGTTAAGAGCTCTTGCTGAAAAATTTCAGAAAAATAGCCCATTTTCGACATTCTATAACGTAATATACTCTGTGAAACTTTCCATTTTTTTTTTTTTTTGGCATAATACAATTCTGAAGAAATTTAAAAAAGAAGAAAATAGTAGAATTTGCTCTAATTGATTCTTTAATTATTATATACTATTTTTCTAATATAAAGGAAAGTTATTTTAAACAGGGGATATTGCTATTAATTATTTTTTAAAATAATTTCTCTAAAATTGAAAAAAATTTATTCGAATTAATTTAACGTGTTTTGAACTCGTATCTAGATTAATCATCAATTATCCTCCAGGTGAGTGAAAATTTCGAAAGAAATTCTCCACAAAGATTTCATTCGAACGTGACACGTCATTTTCTTTCTTTAAATAAAAATCTTTTATTCATTTAAAAAAATGAAAAGAAAAAAGAATGTCCTACTCTTCCATTTATCCCCACATATAATAGTAATAATAATAATAAATCACTGCAAAAAACATTAAACCTATTATTCAATGTTTCAATGCAACAACTCGTCCTCTGAGAATCAATCTCTCATTCTCCCTTTTTTTCTTTTTTTTCATTGCATGGCGAACTGCACGCAAGAATCGACACACATTTACACACGTTCCTCGATAAAAAGAGAATGGGCCAGCCGTAACACTTACGGCTTGGAGCAGGAAGTTGAAGGAGAAAGAAAATCCCGGTTGCAAGTGTAAACTGATCGAGGCTCGTTTCAAATGCACGTGTTTACGGTGGAATGGTTTTAAGAGTTCTGGAATCGTTGTGAACACGATATATATCCTCCTGATATATCCTCCCTCCCTCACGGGAATCGATCTGATTTAGGGATGAACGTCGCTTCCGGATGAAAAGACCATCGTGAAAGCGAATCTCCAGGAAAATATTAGCCGGTGAAATGAAATATTTTCCCAACACTTTTCCAAGAGATTATTTCTTTGAAAAGGTGACGAGATCCTCCCATATTTGATCATTAGATTATCAGAGAAGTTCCATCGTTCTGGAACTTTTAATTATTTGAATATATGGAATTTCTCTGAATTATTATTTAGTGATTTTCAAATTTTAATCGACGAGAGAATTACATTTTATTTTAACAATTACTTTTTAACAAATTATCACTAGAATAAATATCAGTGATTAATTTTATCGTTAATTTATACATTTTCATATATCTCTATATATATATAAATTTCTTAAAAATCATAAAACAAATTCCCAAAATTTCCTCCAACCGTGTATCTTTCTCCTCTCTCCTTCTTTCAAAAAAAGAAAAGAAAGATAAATTATCATCTTATTCTCGTCTCAATTTTCTCTCTCATCAAGAAAATGCAAACAAAAAAAAGCAGCAAAAGAAAAAAGTAAATAAATAAAATATATATATATAGAAAAAAAGAAAGAAAGAAAAATGCAAACAGAATTCGGTTCGTGTTTCCGGTCAACATCTGCCACGCTTGAACGACGGTCGAAGAGGTCGTCGTCGTCGGCGAACACCAAGGGAAATCAAGCGTTCTACGGTTTTATTTGCATAAAATGATGGGACTGGCCATGTCACGTTCGAAATGTCGGCCTCTCGGCTCGCGGCCCGCGCGATTTTCCTCTCAAATTTCATTACGGCGCCTGTCCCCACGGCGATACGACGTTGCACGCGCGCAAAACTCCTCCTCGATCATTAAGTAAATGCATATTAAAGAAACGGCGTGGCCGCCACCATAGTTTCTCCCCGCGTTTATCTCGAAACGCGCTCTATTCGATTCCATCCCCCAGAAAAAGGATTGCTCAAAAGGATTGCACGGATTCCTCCTCCTCCTCCTCTTCCTCCTCCTCCTCCTCCTCTTTCCTCGATTCTTCTTCTGGCGAGATTTTTTTCGATCGAGCGTTGTTCTGATTTTCTATAGGAATTTTAAGGTTGAAGTTTTTCTGTCTTTGGAGGTGAATTAATAAAATGATTGAGGTAAATAAGGTTTTCAAACGATTCGGGTATTTTTTTTTTAAAAATTGAAAATAAAGTTTCAATCGATCGTGAAGGATTGAAGTATGGAAAAGTTGTCGAAATGAATCGATGACGATATGATGATGTGTTTATGGTATTTCTATTTTTATAAAAATTATTATGTTTTGTAATCAGTCACATGTTTGTGAAACTTTTGAAAATGTATCTTTCAATTTATCTATCGTAGAATCTAATTACGTCGATCACTTTTCTGGACCGAGAACAGTTAAGCAGAAACTTTCTAAAATAAATTGATAAAGATCGGTTCGTGTTTGGTCGATCATTATGTTGAAGTTAAATGATTCGTATATATAATATTATCAAGATTCTGAAACATAACAATTTCTCAACCAAATTGATTGAAATTCTAAATATCTCTTCTAAATGTTTCTTTTTTGAGATCTGTGAACACTCCAGAAAATAGGCCTATATAATTTTCCAGAAATCCAACCAATCCAAAAGTTCACCAAAATTATTCCAATTATTCGAAGAACGCAAGAAACCAATCTAATCAGAAATTACAATAAAAGAAGAAGAAATGAAAAGCGTATAAAATAGAAGATCGATTAAGGGATGAATCGGAAAAAATTCTTATCGTTGCTCAGCGTGTAAACGCTGACGAAGGCATTGGAAAAGTTCTATTTGCCTGTTTCCTGTCCAAACGATAGCCCGGTATACGATGTTACGTGCTCCTTCTTACAACGAATCAGTTTCTGCCGACGAGGCGGCAGTAAAACGTAACGACGTTAATTCCGTGTCTGGGCAAACCGAGCTTCTGTGTACGATGTTTCGAAGTGGAAGAAGCTTCGACAGGAGTGGACAGGAGGATTGGGATTGTTAGAGAGGAACGTTGGCCCAGAGTTTGGAATTGGTTTCTTTGGTTGATTAAGGGTAGGTTATGGGTACTCGAAAGGGTTGGAGAAGCTCGATTCTCGTGTTGGAGTTTTGAAAAGAAGGAGATTGGACAGTTTGTCGAAGACGATTTTTTTTTTTATTCATTATATTGTGGGAAATATTAAAAATATTCTTTTGGAAATGGACGAAAATTGATGACGAAGATAATTCTCGATTTATTATATATGAATTCCTTTTTCCAAAAAATTAAAATTCAAAAAGAAATTCGTGTTTAAAGAATGTGAAAAAAATCTTCATTCGTATCCAATTTTCATTTTTTTGATTTAACAATATTTTTAACGTTAATAAACGAAAGAAAAAGGAAATATTTATAAATACACACATCCTTTTATATTAGAGATCGATAAAATATAAATCAAAAAACATCTCTCTATAATATATCACATCTCCTTTATATCGAAATAAATATATCTAACTACGAAATTATTCGTTAATATCTCCTCAAAGATGATTAAAAATTTGCTGATAAATTTATAAATCGAAAAAGATATATTCACGATTGAACGAGTAAATAAGATGGTAAAGCAATTACAAATAGAAGAGGATGAGGAGATCCAATGTGAATATCTGAAACGTTACAGTCTACAAAGGAAGGCAAAGTGTAATAAGTGGAGAACTCTCTTTCGAATTCCAAGTTGAAGGAGATACGGTGGATACTTTAAATTAAACTTATTACATATCTCGGTCTTTGTACGCTTCAACTCTCCGATTCTATTAAGTCTCTTCTCCAATTTCACTCTTTGCTCCTTCGACCCACCACGATCCTTCGCCCTTTCCACCAACGACTCACTCCGCTTTGCAATCACTGAATCAGATCGAATCATAATAACGTGTATAAAATTCTACATCTTCGCTGTATTCCTTACCCGCGTATTCTTTTTTCTTCTTTTCTCACTCAAAAATATAAAACATCAAGTTAAACATCACAAACTTTTTATAAATATTAACTCACCAATCCTTCATCCATCCTATCATTACGACAGATTCTTTAATCCCATTTCAACATCCCTTTATCCTTATCCAAAATCCTTCTCCAAAATGATTCAAACCTAGATTTC